ACTGTAAACATCCGTCACACCAGGTCCTCCGCACTCAGGCTTACTCAGCCTCATCTCAACCCATGCAGAGCCCCAGGGGAGCACCCCGGCTCCAGCCTGGCACCCCATTAATTCCAGGATGATGCTGGTCCCTTGCAAAGGCCAAGCCTGCTTTTAATGATGTACTCGACCTAGAATCTCTCTCCCCTCTGTCGCCACCTATTAAAAATAAAACAAAAACAGAAAACTTACTCGACCCCAAGGCTGAGCTCAAGCCCATATCTCCCACGGAATCCTTCATGATATGCCTGGTGCTCCAAGCTGTCTCTTCTTCCGTGTTCAGTGTTTAAAATACTCACTTCGGGCACTAAATTATAGATCTAAGCCCAAGTCTTCTCTTTTCAACAAGACTTTGAACTCCTGCAGGATATCATCCATGGCTTAGTACAGCATTTCAATAAACATGTGTTGACTTGTATGTGTCTTTTCTGCTTCCATTGGGGGCAAGACAAGAATGTCTGAAAACTGACAGTAGGAGATCAAATTGAGAGGAGATAAAAAAAAAATACTGAATACTGGAAACTGTGGGTAGTTGAGGCGACAGACATCTCTTTTAAGAGAAAAATGACAAATCACACGTAATTACCTGAGTGTCATGGAACAACCCTTAGCTTTGAAAGATTATTAGAGGAAATTTTATTGCACAGTAGATCATTCCTTTCTTTGTAACAGAAAGGATCTGAGCTGCCTAGAACGTAAAGTCTGATCATTTTTAGTTACGAGACCACAAATATACATTGGGTGCATACTTTAATATTTAAAAAATAGCATTCCCATTTGTTCACTGGAAGCAAAATTCTCCACTGTGCCTTTTGAGTATATCATTCCGCTTACTTTTTATAATGTGCCTGTAAGGTGGGCATTATTATCTTTTTTTAAAAAATGTGGACATTAAGACCCTCAAGGTCACAGAGCCAAACGTCAGCAGCAGACTGGGGGACGTCAAGGCTTAATTTCTTCCCTCCTGCACCATGACGTCAGGCAAGGTGCCGGGTGCTGTGGGCATGTTATCAGAGTAGATCTCTATTTGCTAAATACATAGTGTACTCCTCTATCTCCCAGCCTACCAAGTCAGAGAGGAATTCCAGGCAGAAGGAATCGATCTATGTCTCAGTTTGTTATCTTCACAGGTGCAGAATGTAACTTCCTAAGTCCACCAGAATTCCAGAGAAAGACAATTTCTACATGCTGTGGGCAGGTGCCTGGAACCCTGGGCCGCAGTGTGCACAGAAGACAGCCTGGTGTGTAAGCAGAAACACCTGCCCGCCAGGCCTCCCTGCTTCTGTTCTGACGTGACTATTCGCCAAACGCCAGGGAGGCCCCCAGCATTTTCCAACACCGGATTTCGTTCACGGGAAGAGCGGATGCTCCGTGTGCTTTTCAGGGTGATCCTGAGAGATCTGAGACCACCCGTTCAATATATACTTTCTCTTTTAGAAAAGAACTCAGACCAAAGAGGAAGTTAGGTCAAGGAAGAAGTCATGCCAGGAAGTGTGAAGAAGCAGCTAAGCGTTCAGAAAGTTTGTGTGAATACATGTGCCGGACCCTCCGTGGAGGACGTTGGGCTGACCGGGACCCGACTGCGGGAGATTGCTTCGTTGTGTTGGAACTCTGACATGAAACCTTCGTGAAACACTCTATGTCAAAAATAACTAGCTTTGAATCCGCCTTTCGATAAGCAAATTTGTGTAAAAGATATATGTCCTACAAGAATATAATTTTTGACATTTCAGTATGTGAACGTCAAACAATCCTACCCCGAGGTACCAGAGGGTTGGACAGATGAAAATTCAGCTGTTTTGGCAGCGTCATTATAACTGTAATGGTCACCTGCAGAAAGGATTATATCTGACTCCAGTGACCAAGGTCAGAGCTGGCCAAGGGGGAAGGTCACGCAGGGGTTGGAGAGCGCCCCCTTCTGGTTGGTGATAGACCCAGTAAGTACAGTGCAGGACGGAGGTAGGTTTACAGTGTGAGTCTGCCAAACCCAGAGTTTATTCTCCTGTGGTTGTTTATTAATTATTGTGTTATCTTCCTTACAGATGACTGCAGACCTACTTTTGCCCACCCTGCAGGACTGCAGGCTCACCCCATTCTTCCTGCCTTTGGCAAAGAGGAAGAAAAGCAGAATTCACAGGGCCCTGAAAATTTAATTCGACCCTTTTCTGTGACTGGTTGGAAAGCCCGAAGCCAAAGCAAAACAAGTCAAATGAGAAATGACAAAGCGTGTCCTCCAGGGCCCTGAACAGCCTCTGGCTCAAAGCGGAGAGTTTGGAAGGAGGGATGAAGACGGCAGAAAGGTCTAGAGCCCCATGCAGAGGGCCAAGAGAAGCTCCAGGTGTTTTGGTAACTCTGAACAATGTACATTTAAGTATTTTCATAGACTTGTTTTCATTCTATCAGGGGTGGGGAACGTCCGGCCCGAGAAATCCGCACCAGCTCACATCACAGCCTCACCAAACCAGCCTGAGCAAACAGCAGGCTCTCGTTTAAGTGGATAGTTTTGTGTGGATAGTTTGTCTGGCCCCTGGATGCTGCTATACATGTCCAAACGGCCCTGGGCAGGAAAGAGGTTCCCACCTGTTAAATGGGGCTTTCCTGTGCACCCCACGCCCAGCTGTGGCGCGAGCCGTAAGCACGCGGCCCCTGTCTTGCCGTCGAGTGGAGCACCTGCCGGCAGGCTGTCCAAGGGGCCAGTGGGCTCCCCAAGGGGCCAGTGGGCTCCCCGATGCAGCGAGAACCAGAGGCCTGAAAGCCCCCCACTCAGAAATGCACCGTCTCATCAGCAGAAAGACGCTGCTACAATTTGAGACTCATTACATGAGTCACTTTCCAAAATCGATCTTGAGACAAAGCGGGAGCAGTGGGGGAGGGCGAGGCTACGGCTGGAGCTGCAGTGTGAGTTCACGCGGGGACTGGAGGGGACCGCAGACCCCCTCACCCACCCAACACTGTGTCCAGTCAGCGGAACAAGCCTCTGCCACATCGGCCCGTCATCTGAGTCCTCAGGAAAAAACAGATGAGCACAAGTAAACGCTGGTGCTCAGGGCTACAATGTGATCCAAGGGCGTTGCTTGGAGAGCTCGGGGTCAGGAGTCAGCATGCAGCGCCCGGGTGCCAGCTCCAGGGGGCACTCCCTGCAGCTGTTGGGGGGTCGCTTGCCCGCTGGGGGCGCTCCCTGCAGGCTGTAGATAGGAAGGCTTCTCTGTGGCGCTGGGGTCAAGGTGCATGGACATCAACCAGGGCATGGTGGCAACGGTCATTACCGGGATTACTTTAGAAATACTCAAAGCGGCTCCTCTCTGGGAGACTCTCATCCTGAGACCAAAACCAAGTCACCCACTGTGAACTGTATTGTCCTCAGGTGTGCCCTGGTTTGGTAAGCTCTTTTCTTTGTTTAAATTCATTTTTTGAGAGGCAGAGGAAGGGAGAGAGAGATTTTTTTGTTCCATATATTTATACATTCCCTGGTTAGTTCTCGTATGTGACTGGGGATCGAACCTGCACCCTGGGTGTACTGGGGTGATGCTGTAACTGAGTAACCTGGCCACGGCGGGGTCTGGTAAACTCCTGAGCCAAGTTGTCGGAACTCATTTCTCCTAAATTCTGACGGGCGCAGTAAAACACGAACACCACGTATTAAGCGTAAAACGTCTTTGGAGTTCAGAGTGGCACTGATTTATACAAGACGGCACGAAGGAGCCCCCTCTGCCATAAATCCCGTTGTTCCCAGAAGAGGTAGATAAATCTCAAGGCATAATTACACCCTGCCTGTCCTGACCTCTGGAGATATGTATCTGCTTGAAAAATCACAGGAGGGTCCTCCCTAGTGGAAGGCATCTGAGACACGCTTTCCGTGGAAAACGCCCGCAAGGGCTTGATGGTCCCGATCGGGGGTCATCTTCAGTCCCCCTGGGCTCGGCTTTGCTCATTGTCAGTCCAGTGGGAGCGAGGGACCTCACTCGCTGCGCTTCTCCACGTCTTTCGTTTGCCCGAAGTCCAGATGCGCCACCTTTCTCCGCGATTGCTGGCCGGGGCTGTGTCCACCCTGCGCCAGCAGAGCCAGCAGGCCCGGAGGCTGTGCCCGCTCCTGCTGTGATGGGCACTCCCCTGGGCACCAGCGCAGGTCAGCAACGCCAGCTGTTGGCATTTCTGCGGGGAAAATGAGGGGCCTCCCCCCAAGTAGTCATGGACCTGCGCCACATTTCCTGAGCATCTTGCCTTTCCAAAGCATGTGGAGGACACCATGGAGGGTGCCAGGGAGAAAGGCGGGCGGGGACAGGAAGGTGGGGGTGGGGTTACGGGAGGATGGGGGAGGGGAAGGAGGGGGAGGAAGAGGAGGGAGAAGAGAGTAGAAACGAACACAATAAACAGCCACCCCTGCCCACGTCCTGGGTCTTCGATGGTGTCTCCACGTGTCCCACTCAACCAACAGCTTCGCGGAACTGAGGCAGGTCTGCGGCCTTCGGGCTCCAAGAGCCCCCGACAAGTTCCCGTGCCGTGTGCGGGCTGGTCGCCCAGCACTGAAAACGCTCCCAAGTCACACTGCTCTTCTGTTTCCTTCCCACACACACTCAGGGTCCCCGATGGTGCCTTCTGACAGGCCTCGTGAGCTTAGGGGTGCCGCGCTCTCTGCCGTGTGGGCGACAGGGGGAGCTCTCCTGGGAGGCCCAGGGCCCGTCTCACCCCTCCTGCACCTGGTGACAAGGGAGCCAGGGCAGGGCAGGGTGGAGCCGGTCCAGGAAGGAGGCATCACAAGGGGCAAGTGCTGGACTCAGGTGATGCCCTTGACCCTGGTGTGGTTACCTGGCCGGGGTCCCAGAGGCTGCACCCCGTGTCGTCCAAAATCAAGGTGTCCGTTTCCTGCCCTCAGTTCCCAAGAATCAACCAACCAGCCCGTGTTCGCCTGCGGGGCCGATCTACGGACTCCCCAGTAAGAGAAAGTGGAAAAGCGGTCTTACCCGTGCGGAATTTTGCTCAGGACATAATATCCGGTGTAGGAGTGTTGATGTATCTGCAACAGAGAAGAAACAAAACAGAAGTCGCGTTGAGACAAAGGCTGTGACTCTGGTATTTTTCAGAATCGGTGACGCTAACACACAGCGTAGACCCCAGGTCGTTTTCCAGGGGCCCGGGGAGCACAGCCTCTTCCCTGACTTGGGGGATTCATCTGTGTCCGCTGTTGGTTTTATTTCCCTCATCCGCGCGTGGGCTACGGGGCCGCTGGGGGCTTGACATCACCTCCACGGCTACCTGGCCTGTGACTGAATTAGGCACAAATTTCCACCTCCACTGAGGGCATCTCAGAAACAGTGAGGCCACCGTGGCCGTCAGGGAGACTGAGAGACCCACGTACTTGGGGGGAGGGGTTGCTGTAAATTACAGCAAATTCCATGGGGTACAGAACCCTCCGCGATGGGCATTAAGACGCCCAGCCAGGCCTCACCGGCCGGCTCCAGTCCCCGGTGCGGTGATGTACATGTTTCCGATGATAAGAGCTCGTTGCAAGGGGAGGGCGTAGCTTTCAAAGCGAAGGTGACAGACCGAAGCCATGTTTCCAAGTCCTGCAGCCCCCAGATGGCGGCAGCCCCTCTCAAGCTCTCCAGGACCCCAGGTTGCCTCCCCTTCCCTGGGCACCTTCTAAGAGACGCCCCCTCGGGAGGGGCGAGTGTCCAGGGGCCAGTATTTATTTATTTATTTATTTTATCCTCACCCGAGGACATTTTCCCATTTTTTTGTTCAGGTAGAGTGGGAGGGAGAGAGAGGAACAGAGAGAGAGAGAGAAACCTTGATGTGAAAGGGACACATCGAGTGGCTGCCACCTGCACAAACGACCAGGGCCGGGGACAAACTGCAACCGAGGTACGTGCCCTTAGCGGGAACCGAACCCGGGTCTCTCTGGACCGCAGGTCGACACTCTAACCGCTGAGCCAAACCGGCCAGGGCCCAGGAACCAACATTTAAAGCCGCCTCTCTAAGGACAGCAGGTGAGAGATACCACGAGAAGCATGTCTCACGGGGGACATGTCTGGGACGCAGGGAAATGGGATCTTAGGGAATTTAAGTCCAACCCAGGCGAGATTTGATCTGAGGTGTGTCTGTCTCCGAACACACTGCAAATTGCCTGAACTAAGAGAGTGTGTCTCTGAACTCTGAAGTTCCAAGTCCAAGTTGACGGCTGTGAACCGAAAAAGCGAGGAGACCGACAGGTGGAATAAATACGCAACGTGAGGAACTTTCTTTTTGGGTTGAAGATCTGTTTCTTTAATTCACCCAGAAAAGGTGATCTCAACTTACCCCCTGGCTGTGCCACTCCCAAACACCTAGACTCATCCCTCTGCACCCCTCTTTCAATGTGCGAAGTGACCCTCACCTTCAGCTCTGTGACTACCTTCTGAGCAGAACCAGCGAGAAAGGGGACACGTTAGAATAACCCCGTAAGGGCAGTGGGAACAAAAACGAGATGACCAACGATCGTCTTCAAACCTGGGTCTGCATGGTCAGACACAGAGAAATAAAGTCTACGTGGATGGGAAATGGAATAAAATGTCTGGAAAACCGAACCACGAACTAGGATTCAAAGAAAAACGAGAGAGAGTTAAGAGGTAGAGACAGATAAAACCTGAGACGCTAGTCTGCCAAATGTGGATGGGAACGGAGCCCCCAGAGTAAATCTAGTGCAAATGGGGACCTTAAAAATGAAAGTGCAGGGCCTGGCCGGTGTGGCTCAGTGGTTGAGCATCGACCCTGCACCAAGAGGTCGCTGGTTTGATTCCCGGTCAGGGCACATGCCCAGGTTGTGGGCCTGATCCCCGGGGCGGGGGGTGTGTGTGTGTGCAGGAGGCGGCCAATTGATGCTCTCTCTCATCGATGTTTCTGTCTCTCTCCCTCTCCTTTCCTCTCTCTCTCTCTCAAATCAATAAAGAAAGAAAAAAAAAAAATAAACAAACAAACAAACAAACCTGGCTACACTTTTCTTGAAGTCCTTTTTTTTTAAACCCTTACCTGAGGGTATATTTCCATTGATTTTTTTTTTTTTCAGATAGAGTGGGAGGGAGGGAGGAAGAAAAACATCGATGTGAGAGAGACACATGAATTGGTTGCCTCCCACATGATCCCAACCCGGGCGGGGGACGTGCCCTTGACCAGGAATCAAACCCGTGACTCTTTGGTCCGAGGGCCGATGCTCTCACCGCTGAGCCAAACCGGCCAGGGCGAGCTCCTTCTTTTTATCGATCATGCAGCTCGGAAGACATCTACGCCGTCTCCCTTTCCGTTCACGACTAACCCATCAGAACATTCTCGCACCCCAGGGAGCGTCCAGCTGCCACACGCAACGCGTTTCCCTGATGTCCATTCCGCTCCATCTCTCCATCTCTCGTTCTTATTCGATCCTCTCCTCTGCTCGTGGAGGACGTTAGACATGACAGGGCTTGTGTCCGCCAGCTCAGAGTAAGATTCCCCTGAGCAGCACGCAGGACACCGGGGCTGGACCACAGGAGGAAGGAACTAGACAGGTTGTGTGTCACTGCTGCGCACCGGAGCTACAATGTAACGACTACAGAGAGACACTGAATGTAACCAGAGCTGGAGGAACATTGTTGCGAGGAAGGGGAATAAGAGCGGGTGACTGATGTGGACAGAGGCTAAGCTTCTGGGGAGCACGGACAGGACAGGGACGGTCCAGGGAAAGCAAAGATGTGGAAACAAAATGGTACGAGAAAGAAAGACAGAAAAATCACCTGCATGAGGTGTCAAGGACGATGAGTGAAAACACACACACACAACAGCCACGCACACCTAAAGGAGGAAATGAAACCTCTAAGAAGCAGCTGCAGAATGTGAGCTTTCTTGGCTTTAAAACCAGAGGAAATGCGGGGTTCACCCAGAGTGTCTTTCCCCTCTGAGTCCTGTGCACAAAGGACGAGGACGTTCCATCAGGTGACGCCGGGGCAAACGAAAGACCCCGTGAAGGCGATGCCCCTACATGTCCCTTCTGTTTCCTCAGAACCTTCTTAAAGCAGCCTTTTCAAGGTCCAACTGTTACACGAGGATCAGCATGTATTAAACATGTCCCATTTGCTGAGTTTGGACATGTGTGATCACCCGTGATACCATCGTCACAGTCAAGGCAACAGACACCCCCCGCCCCGCGCCCCCTTGTGTCCTGATACCCTTTAAGAAGGCGGTGGAGATCGCACAGACTGAACCCCACATCCCCCCTTCCGGCGGACGTGGGGAGAGATGAGGCAAAGAAACCGACGTCTCCTTTTCTTAAAAATGTTTGTGAATCGCGACCTTTACATGGCATGTTCCTAGATCTTGGTCTTGACACCTTCTTCTAAAAAACCAGCACCCCAGTTCTCGTAATGAATTCCCTGCGTGTCACGATGTCCCCGTCACCCAGAGGCCGCCCTGCGTCAGGAAGCCCCAACTCGCTCTGTGGCGTGCTGACTGTCGGGGGCTTCAGGCGGGGCCTCGGCTCAGTACCCCCTCCAGGCCCTTCCTCGAATCATGAGACACACGCTCGCACCCTCAGCATGCGGCTGAGACAGGCGCGAACCAGCTCCAACGCCCTTCTGGGAAGAGACGATAAACATCTCGTCTTAGAACGCCTTTAACATGGGAACGAATGGACCCCGTCGAGGGCGGCACCTCCTGGGGAGTAAGACCAAAGAGCCAAATGACTCTAGAGAAGGCGACCAGGTTGGCTGAAGTCTGGAAAGAGAGCTGCCTGGGACCCCGGAGCTACGGCAGGTGGTCCGGCGGGAGGAGAGGAGTCTGAGGGGCCCGGCGAGCTCTGTTTGAGCCCGGAAGGAGCTCTGGGCAGGTGTGAGCAGGACTGTTGTCCTCTGCTCCTGGCAGGAGTGACACTCACCAGCACAGATTACGAGGAAACAGACTTCAGACCCGTGATGCTAACTTTTGGTAACGACAGTATCCGATACTGAAAAGGTTCCCGGCCCCGGTGAACCCAAGTGTGGAAGCTGACCTTCCCGGAGCCTTCAGGAGAACGCAGGGAGTGGTGAAAACGAACCCAGTGCCAGGCCGGTGTGGCTCGGTGATTCAGCGTCAACCCTGTGCCAAGAGGTCACCGGTTCGATTCCCGGTCAGGGCACATGCCCAGGTTGTGAGCCCGATCCCCAGTCGGGGGCGTGCAGGAGGCGGCCACTCGATGTTCTCTCTCATTGGTGTTTCTATCTCTCCCTCTCCCTTCCACTCTCTCTAAAAATAAATAAAGAAAAAAAATTAAAAAAAGAAAATGAACCCAGGGGCCACCAAAATTCTGCCCCATTCTGAGAATTCCCCAAGTCCCACTGAGGACGGCCCCTGCCCTCACCGCTCTGCTCTGGGTGGGCACAAGGTTCACTCTGTCTCCGTGTTGGGCACAGATGTCTAAGCCTGGGCCAGTGAGTGCCAACTGTAGCTGGTCAAACCTGACAGCTTCTGTTGGTTCTGGAATCATTTACGTCCCTCGACACCTCTTCCTTCCCAAGATCCTGCCAAAATCTCATCTCACGACAGAGCGAGACCCTGATGACTTTCAGTCTCCTGTGTCATTCATGTCTTTCCCTGGGTACCACCCCAGGGACCCAACACGTTGCCGAAATCATTCCTGCCCAGTCCCTGTCCCTGCGCCTGTGGCTGCTGGTCCGGCGAGTTCTAAGTTCTGATGGGGAAGGTGAGTGAGGATGGAAAACCTGAGTGAGTTGGTCCGTCCCGGAGAGGTGTCCTTTCTCAAGCTGAAGGTCACGATCTCCCCAGGTTCTCATATTTACTTTGGCACACACATCCACACAGCCTGCCACGTCCTCTTACCTCGTTCTCACGAAGGCAAACCCTTGCTGTCGTGATTAAAAATGGTTTTTTTCCAGAGGACCCCAAGTCTCTAGGTGCACGTGGAAATAGTGAGCACAAAGTAAAGACCTTTGGCTCCTGTGATACACGACAAGAGCAGGGAAAGGCTCGATGTGAATGAGATGTTCTGTGTGTTTCCTGGTCTGCATGAGGGTT